TAGCCAAAGTGGGGTGTAATCAGCAGAGCAGGCAAAGCAGTACAAGCTCAGGGTGGATCACAATGTCACCACACAATCTGAGCACAAGTTCAAGAAGAAATAGTTTAGAGTTCACAATTATGAGCAAAGCTAGTGGTCGTCACAACGGGCAAGTGAGGAGGAGGAGAGAGAGTGAGGGGAGAGGAGATAGGAGGCGACGGCTGAAGCTGCAGACACACGGGCAACAGGAGGCAGACTGGCACAGCGGCTACCGGACTAAGCGCCCGGACTACAGGAGTAACAGGCCCCGCGGCTAAAGTAGCGGCAGACGAGCAACGGACCCACGGGCGGCTGGCGTAGAAGTCTAGCTCACTGGGCTACCGGGACAGCGCCCCGGACTACAGGTGCTGCGGACAATAGTACGGCAACCTCCATGCAGCTTCCCAAACAGTCCCACCCCCCCGACACGCACCCGCTGCTACACCGCTAGCTCCACTCCCACGCACCCCCCTTAAACCCTAAACCCCAGTCTCCCACACAACCACCCCCCTCAGCGACAGCTGCAGCAGTGGGAGACGAAGGAGGAGGAGGAGCAAAGGGAGGAAGGCACACCGGCCACCCCCATACCCGACACCCCACCGCTCGCCCCTCAGGTCGCCTCGACAGACGACAGGAATAAGGGGGGGGGGGGGGGGGTGGAGAAAGGGGCCCACCACGGGCCTGAGAGGGTCGCAGGTAGGGGCACGGGGCCGGGGCCGCAGGTAGGGCGACGGGCCGCAGGTAGGGCGGCGGGTGGCCGCGAAGGTAAGGCGGCGGGTGGGCCGCGAAGGTAGGGCGGCGGGTGGCCGCGACGGTAGGGCGGCGGGTGGCCGCGAAGGTAGGGCGGCGGGTGGCCGCGAAGGTAGGGCGGCGGGTGGCCGCGAAGGTAGGGCGGCGGGTGGGCCGCGAAGGTAGGGCGGCGGGCGGTCGCGACGGGTCGGGCAGCGGGGCCGCGACGGGTCCCCGTCGCCCGTCGCGGCGCCTCCAGAAGGCGACGCGACGAACGACGAGGCAGACGCCCGCCGCGCGCCTCGGGGCGCACAGCGGGCAGAGAACCGCCGCGCGCCTCGGGGCGCACGGCGGGCGGAAAACCGCCGCGCGCCTCGGGGCGCACGGCGGGAAGGAAAAGTAGCAGCGGAAGCGAGGTGGTAACCCATCCACAGGATCGATCCAAGGGGATCGACCTGCTCTGATAGCATGACAAAGTTTGAAGAAAGAAAGAGGAAAGAGGATTGAACTAGCAAGAATGAGGATACAAATAGCAAACCCTAGAAAGGTTGTACTCGCTATAGAGCACCCCACTACAGACTAGAACATAAGATAATATTCTGACACTTAGTAGATCTCGAAGCAGTTTTTAAAATTTTAGAGGCACATCAGTTACTCACCAAGGGCTCCAAGTGCGAGTTTTTTTGGGACAGGCTAGAATTTTTAGGTCTCGTCATTTCGGAGGCTAGGGTTGAGATAGACCCTAAGAAGCTGGATACCGTCAAAGCGTGGCATCCCCCGACGAACATCACGGAACTGCAGAGTTTTTTAGGGCTTGTTAATTACGTTCATCGGTCCGTCCCCGACATGGCACGCTTAACAGCCCCGCTCACCGATTTACTGCGTAAGGGGGTCCCTTTTACGTGGGGGGAGAAAGAGCATGCTGCCTTCTCTGCCCTGAAAAATGTTCTCTGTTCACCACCCGTCCTACGCATCAGTGACCCACACCGCCCCTTCGAAGTTGTTACAGACGCGTGTGACATCGCCATCGGAGCCGTACTGTTACAGGACTTCGGCAACGGCCTCCAACCCATCGCCTACGAATCACGCAAGCTACATCGACCTGAGCGAAATTACCCGATACACGACCGCGAAATGCTCGCGATCGTGCATGCATTCAAAGTGTGGCGCTGCTACTTGACCGGCGCAGACGTGACAGTACGGACAGACCATCGATCCCTACAGTACCTTCGCGCACAGCCCCACCTCAACCCACGACAGATTCGGTGGCTCGACTTCCTCGAGTCGAATTTCCACTATACGGTCACATATAAAAAAGGAGCCTCGAATATCGCCGACGCACTGACCCGCCCCACTGCCCAAATCCATGCGATACTACTCGCCCAGACCAGCCCGTTACTGACAGGACTATTTACCCACGGATATCAAACAGACCCATTCTTCACAGGAGGAAATTCACAGCAATTCGCAGCAGCCAAGGGGGTCTATTACGTAAGAGCTGGATCCGACCGCATCTGGATACCAGGGTACGCGCTACTACGGGAATTACTGTTACAGGAGGCACACGACGGAGTTACCTCGGGACATTTCGGAGTAGAAAAAACACGGCAGCAGCTGCAGCGGTACTATTACTGGCCGGAAATGTTGACCGACGTGCAACGACACGTGGCATCGTGTCCCACTTGCCAACTCATGAAGTCAACCAGGAAGCGGCCGGCGGGACAATTACAACCAATCCCACCTCCAGAGCGTGCTTGGCAGCAGGTGACGATGGACTTCGTCACGGGGTTACCGGCCGGGGCGAGTGGGAATGACGCGATCCTGGTCGTCGCCGATCGACTAACGAAAATGGCACATTTCGCAGCATGCAGGAAATCAATCACAGCCGAGGAGACAACCCGACTCTTTATCGCCACCGTCGTTCGACTGCACGGGATACCAGCGTCGATCATCAGCGACAGGGACACGAAGTTTACCAGTAATTTCTGGCGGAACCTGTGGCAGCAGTTCGGCACGCGACTTCAATTCAGTTCATCGTATCACCCCGAAACCGACGGACAGACAGAACGGACAAACCAGACTATGGAGCAGCTCATTCGAGCCACGTGTGACGATCCAAACACGTGGGAGCAGTAGCTGCCTCTCATCGAGTTCGCATACAACAACGCGCCATCTGTCACGACCCAACAGTCGCCATTCTACTTGAATTACGGACAGAACCCAACAGTACCCATGACACCAAACCCCGACAATCCCGTTCCACGCGCACAACAGTTCGCCGAGATTTTGCAAGCAGCACGGACCAGGGCAGCAGAAGCAATTAAAAAAATCAAATATCATCGCTAAACGCAACGCCGATCGCCACCGCAGACCCGTCACTTATCAGCCCGACGACCTCGTTTTACTTGACACTCAGAACCTCCGCCCGCCCATCACTCCCAAACTCCGCCCTCGATACTGTGGGCCATTTCGAATCAGTCACATGATAACACCTGTCACCGCGCACCTCCTCCTTCCTGCTGACTGGTACATCAGCCCCTCGTTCCACGTCAGCCTGCTTCGACCTTACGTACCATCCACCAGCCAACTCCCACGACATCGACCATCCAGCATGTCACGACCACCAACCGAACCAGTCATCACCCCCGACAAAATCTTGAGCCACAGAGTTCGCGACCCTCGAGGAGCCCGAAAAGTTCAGTTTCTGATCTGCTGGAAAGATCGCACACCCACCGAGGACAACTGGGTTCCCCTGGACAGAATTGAAAACCACCCTGTCGTCACTGACTATCTGCGCAGCCGAAACTTCAATGATGTCCACGCGCTTTCGTAAGGAGGACCTTTTAGGAGGGGGGGGGTAGTGTAAGGAAATTCCCTTTTCCTTACTTCGCATCTCTGCTCAACGCGTACATCACTGTAGCACCTCAGTCAGCACCGTTACCACTCGCGACCATCGCATCATTCATCATCCCGCCATTTTCGCACATCGCATCCCGACCTCACGGCTCGGCTGGTAACCCGCGCTCTGGGCCTATGCTTCGACACTTTCCCAACCTCAGTCCCAGGCTCGTCGCGCGACCATTACCGTTAACACTGTAGTTTCGCTATATATTCTTCGCTCATGCCTTCGCTCATTGTACTCTTGCTTCGATAGTGCAATTCTCGTTCGTTCACTCAATTGCACTCGTAACACAATACGTGTTTCTGAAGAGTGACTGTAATAGGTGCTGTGCTAAAGTGACACCTGGAAAATGCAATAATCCCTCGCTATTATGCACCAGGTCCTCTCCTCAGTCAATCTGTGTATGTCGCATGATCGCTGGACATGACGGACCGGCGAAGACCGGGAAACCCAAATTGGTCAGTTTCCTGTGCAGGAAACTGTCGCCAAATTCTCCTGCAGCTTCTCTTGGTGAATGAAACTCCTCCACCAATCAGCGTCCATAAGTGCACGTGTATGACTTGCAAGCCACACTTGCCCCCCTCCGCCTAGCACGCCTGCGAAAAAATCCCGTCTGCCAAACTGGGGAGAATGGTGGTGGGTTCGTTCGGGCTTGGGCCGGGGGGGAAAGGAAAACGGGAAGTGGGGGAAGGAGATTGTGGCAGGAGCTGGTGCGTACTGTACAGTGTCACCCTTCATGCTTCATCCTCCTCCGCTCTTCCGCTCTTCTGTTCCGCTGTTCGTTTTCGCTCTTCTGCTCTCACTTTTCTCGCGCCTCCGCTCCCCCGTGTCCGATCACCTTCCATGAAACCTTCCCCCAAGGTCCCGCGTGGCGGAACAGCACCTCTCCCCCCACCCACACCCCCACCACCTCCCCACGAAACCCCTCCGCTCCCCTATGCCTCTCTCCCACCGTCCCTCCTCCTGGTGCTGCTCCAGTGGACCTGCCTGCTGCTTCACATCAACCTTTCCCCCAAGCCATTTCACTTTCCAGCCCTAATTTCATTCTCACCTTCAGAAGCTGCTCCACAGCCGTTTCTCTAGGGAGTTATCTTCACAGCACAGCAGTAACCTCACTTCCACATTTGACTTTTCCGATATCGGTTCTGCATGCTTTAGGCCGAATTGCTGTGAATTGCGGGGTAGAGATTAGCGAGGGGAGGAGTAGTATTCTTTGGGAGGTCCTTCAGCTTACCTTGCAGCCATGTCGATCTCCAACTCCCTCATCAAGCCCTCGGTCATCAATGGTTCTGGGGCTGTCGTTTCGCGGGTCTCTGCCTTCGAGGATTTCCTGCCTAATGATTTCATTCAGATGTACATAGGGTCATCTTCAAGTCAGGTTCCTCGCCGACTGTTGGCTGCCGATGGCATTTCATCCGTCAATCTTAAGCTGAAGGGTCTTAGCCGTGGCTTTTATGCCAAGCACCAGCGTATAGTAGCAGGACCGTGCGCGTCGGAAGAGTCTCTGCACGATGGCCTCCCCTCCTCGCAACCCCAGACGATGCAGTTTGTGCTCGGAATGTCAGATGTTCTCTTCGTCTCGGTCGCCACGTTCTCTGGAAAGGTATGTGCTCTTCGTGATCATCAAATTGCGACGTGTTCCCGCATATCCGTTCTTTCTCTTCTCTTCACAATTCGTTTGCCGGATTTTGTTGTAAGTTAATGTTTTACAAACAACGCCTGTTCCACAAACATCACATGTTCAAGTATCAAATAGCCTTACCCATTTCCTTACTCATTCCTTATTGCTGTAATTTCAGGAGTACCTGTTCTCTGTGGAGCGGGCTGCGAACCATCGTGTTCGTGACATCAAGAAGCGGATATGCGAGCGCGAGCTTCCTTCGAGTTCGGAAGACGTGGAGCTTGTCCTTGCCGGCACGCCTCTGGAAGACCACCGTCTCATCAACGACTTGGACAAGCATCGGGATTTCGGAGCCGTTGGGTCCTGCCATTTGCATCTTCTCGTGCGGAAGAATGCTCGTGTTCATGCGAAGTCCGGTCCGGGCCGGACAATGGAGCTTTCTGTCAACGCTACAGAGATTGCCTCGTTGCCGTCAATACAGGAGGTTGGCGACGAAGAATGCCCTGCAGCTGTTCCTCTGGCCCTTCCCTGCTCGAGAACCACATCCAGTGAAACAATCCAGCCGACAATGCTTGGAAATCATCCTTCTCTGAAAGGGGAAGGCTTCCGGGCGATGATGAGGGATGTGGGAACCGGCCTTCTCGAAGGCCACGTTCCGCACCTGACTTCTGACGGCTCGGGTGGTACTTACCTCATGTCCGACGCTTCGGGGGCGTCGACAGTAGCTGTATTTAAGCCCATGGACGAGGAGCCTCTCGCTGTAAATTGCCCCCGCGGGATGGCTCCGAGCCTCGATGGGGAAGGGTTGAAACGTGGCACTCGAGTGGGAGAAGGTGCTTTCCGTGAAGTCGCAGCTTACCTTCTGGATCATCCACTGAACGAAGGAGACAGCGAGGGCTACGCAAGCGTTCCTCCGACCACGCTTGTCGGCTGCTCCGCCAGCTTTTTCCCTCGCTCTGATTCTCCGCGGAGTCCTCTGGATGACTTGGAAGGGAAGAAGGTCGGCTCGCTTCAGAAGTTCGTCCAATCGTTCAGCAACTGCGAAGACATGGGACCGTCGCGCTTTCCTGCGTCGGAGGTTCACAAGATCGCGGTTCTGGACATGAGGCTTGCCAACACGGACCGGAATGGTGCCAACATTCTTGTACAGAGGGTCGACGGTCCGAGTGGGGTCAAGCTTATTCCAATCGATCATGGTTATTGCATTCCTGATAAGGTCAGCATCCAGTTCAAACCCCCTTTATTTGTGTGAGTTTGTTGTACCCCCTTTCCCTTTGTTGCACTTGCTCTCCCCTCCCTCGCATTTCTGTCATGCGCCCTTCCTCCATTGTCGTCTTCTGTTTTCCCTTCTCTAATTTGCTCGCTCCTCCATTGTTGTGTTCTTTGTACCTGCAGTTCGAGGATTGCACGTTTGAGTGGCTGTACTGGCCCCAATCCAAGGTTCCCTTTGCTGAGGAGACTCTGGAGTACATATCTAAACTCAATGCCAACAAGGATATTCAGATTCTCAAGGAGAGCGGCTGGTCTCTCAACCCAGCATGCATCAAGGTGCTTCAAGCTGCTACCATGCTTCTCAAGAAGGGTGCATCGGTAGGCAAGACTCCGTTCGAGATCGGATCCATGATGGTTAGAGATGACCTGGATGTTCCTTCTCTGATCGAATCCCTGGTGGAGGAAGCCGAGTCACAGGCTCAGAGGGTTGGAAACCAGTCCTTTGAGGCGTGCTTTGAAGCAATGTTAGATCAGCTGCTGTTTCAGACAGTCAGGGAGTTGTGAATATAATGTTGTGATTTGATAACATTTGGCACCGTGTTGGGGCTTCTACTATGTGCTTGAGCAATCAGAGGAGGGCTTCTAGGAGGATTTCTGTTCTCAGGTTACGGGAAGCGCGGCAACTAGCTGAGCTTTCGGTGGATGACGAAATTGTCGGTGTGGAGGGTGTTCGATTTCATGGTGACTGACCAACGGGCCAAACCTCTACCTAGCCTCGCCGAAATCGGCAAAGTGGCGGGCAGCTCAAATTACACTACAGCCGTCAGTTCCTAGAGGAAATCGTGCTTGTGGGATGAGGGGTGGTTCGGTTTCGGTCAGCAACTCGGGGGAATAGAAAGAAGAATGATGGGCTGTGATTGGTGGAATTGATTCTACACTGCCTACCGTGGAGTTGCTTCCCCAACCAAAGCTGATTACAGTGAGGCTCGGCTCGACATTGGGCTGTGGGTAGTGGGCACGCGCCAAGCCAAGAGTGACACAACGCACGATCACCCGAGAGAGTCAGTTCACTGCACAACTGGTTTGGTGCAAATCTTAGGAATGGGACAACAGGGTGTAGTTCGGTGGTCGTGGATTTTAGGTTTGCTCATTTATAAGTGTGGCGATTAACTTCGTGCAAGGACGGCAGTTACCAAGACAATCCTGAACGCGTTGTCTCATGATCATGGATTGTGCTAGGCGCATTCCAGCGCCTGGCTTGCTGAACCTAGCTTTCTGAAACTGCTCGTTGTCCCTTCGACTTTCGCGGTCTATCCATTTCGCGGTTCGAATTCCTGACTTGTCTGCCACAATAGCTTCTTGCCGTGTACTTTCTTGTTGATGGCGCGTGGATTTGACCGTAGCGGTCTTATCGTCTTCTTGACCGCTATATACGTCTGCTGTAAGTCGCACTCGTTCTCTTACCCTGGCTAATCTCGTTCTCGTTCGATCCCAACGACTCGTGCTTGAGAATCATTCCGAAACCGGCAAAGATACTGCTCCTGGACCGCCTCTCACGTTTCCGCCGTGTCTCGTGTGTGCAGCATCACTATCCTCCCCATCCCTCGCCAACAGCGCCGATTACGCCAACCAAGGTGAGGCTAACAGCCTTGCGTCGCGTCCTTCATCCACGATTTCCCCCATGCGTGCTATCGCTTTACCTGATTCGCCATTGCGCTTGAGTGCATTCGGGACCGTCTGTCGTTCAGCTTTCCCCTCCCTCTTCCCTGCCCCTTCCCGCCTTCCCGCCATCCCACTGTCCCACGTTCCCGCCTCCCCCCCTCCCCGCCTCCCCCTCCCCTTACCTTTCACCCTAGGCTCCGTGCCCCCCAACGACACGTGGAAGGAATCCAAGCCGTTGCTGCCGCTCTCGGAGCAAGCGCGCAACGCCACCGTCCGATCCGGCGTCACCTCCTTCTTCCGCGTCCCCAGCACGTGTGGCGCCGCAAGCGGCGCCGCAGGAGGCGGAGAAGGGCGAGGAGCAGGGGCAGCGGCGGGGTGGAACACAGGGGTGGGCGGAAGCGGCGGGGACGCGCGGTGGTATGTGAATGTGGAGATATGGGGGCTCTTTGCGCCGGGCAACGACACGTCCGTGTTTTACCTGCCCATGCTCATGCTCAACAGCGCTGGCGAAGTGCCCACCGTGCTGGTTACCAACACGCTGGAGTATCGCCTGGATAATCATACGAGCATAGACTACCCCAGTAAGAGCGCGCATGCAAGTTTGACGCTGAATTGGATTCCATGCAAACAACACCACCTTTTCGCCCACCCATTCGCCCACCTCTTTGCCCCAGCTTCAATGCCATCTGCTCTTCTCCCGTCTTTCTCCTCCTGCCCCGTCCCTCCCGCCTTTTCCCTCACGCCTTTTCCCCACCACGTGTCTCCCCCCATTTTCCGGAGCAGATTTTAGGTCGGGGCAGCCGTACCAGATAGTGAGCGTGCCGCAGGACGACCTCGTTAAGAATGGCTCCGTTAACGCGACGGAGCTGATAGTGGGCATATTCAGCGACTCGTACATTGCGGAGGGGCAAGACCTCGGCTTCTCCATCCGTGCCTTCTGCTCCCGTGAGTGCCCATTCAAGTCAAAACAGACCATGCCTTTCTCCTCCAATGAGCATTCATTCGAGTGCTCAATAAAGTCCTGTCACGCCTCCTGCTCTGATGAGCGAGCATGTGTTGTGTCCCATCTGCCATCTCGATACGTGTTTACCTCACCACGCCCACATGCCTCGCCTTCCAGTTGCTCCTGCCTCGCCTTCCAGTTGCTCCTGCCTCGCCTTCCAGTTGCTCCTGCCTCCCCTGCTCCTCTGCTCGCTTCTGTGTTCGTCCCCCGCTTCCAGAATTCCTTCTCCATCTCCCCATGCTCTTCAATTTGAATATTTCCGTCATTCTCTCCCAACGCCCTCCCCCTTTTCCCTACGTGCCCTGCGCGCGCAGAGGGCAGGGGGTGTCCGCTCAACTGCAGTGGGCGGGGCGTGTGCGGGGGAGGGGGAGTGTGCCAGTGCCCCAAGGGGTGGGGCGGCACTGCTTGCGCCGATGGTGAGACGCTGGGAATGGGGGCGGGATTGCGGAGGATGCAGGTGAGGATGGGCGTGAAGGTGTGCGGGGAGGGAGGGGCAATTGCATTCTACGGTCTACCGTCCCTCCTCCCCGTCTTCACCTTTTCGCTCACTTCACTGTCGTCGCTGTCCTACTTGCTCGCACCAGATGCGCGCTTGCATTCTGTCCACCTCTCAATCGACGGTTGCCATTCTCCTGTTCCTGTCAATTGTGTGTGCCGCTCACCCCATTTCTCCCCACCTCACTCCATCCCACCCCATTTCACCCATCACCCCATTGCACCCCTTTTCACCCCTTTTCACCCCTTTTCACTCCTTCTCACCCATTGTCACCCCTTCTTATCCCTCAGTGGTGAATGACATCCAGCCGGGTCTGCAAACCCTTGCTCCCGGGCAATGGGCCTTCTTCCAGATTGAGGTGGGTATTCTTTTCTACCCTATTCAAGTCAAGTGCCTCTCCCCCTGGTTCCCCCATCCACATGTCGTGTGCATTGCACCCTCCCCTTCCCTGCCATCCCATCAGCAACCTGCTACAGCCTCTCGATGACATGACTTTTGAGTCGACTCAAAAGTCCCTCCCTTCCCTGTCATCGGTATCCTGCTACAGTCTGCCTACGTCGCCTGTTCTTCCCTCCTTGCATCCCCTTTTCCTCTCCCTTCTTGCCCTTTTCGCCCTCCCCCCTCCCCTTCCCGAGGTGACTCAGCCGCACACCTAGCTGCTCTTCCTAATGGAGCGAGCCGCGGGCGACCTTGACTTATCCGCCCAGCGCTAGGAGCTGGGCTTCCTGCCGTGACTTTTGAGTCGATTCAAAAGTCACCTTTTTTTACCTAAAAAACATAGTTGCTGCCACGTAAAGTCATGGCACCTAATTGGGGCCCACTCGACCTTGACTTACTCGCCCAGCGCCAGGAGCTGGGCTTCCTGCTCTTCCCTCGTGCTCCCTTCCCCTCCTCATTCCGCCGCCACCCTGCTGCACCCCCATACCCCAGGTCACCCAGCCGAGCACCAAACTTCTTATACAGATGAAGCGAGCAGCGGGCGACCTTGTGCTATTTGCCAAGCGACAGGAGCAGGGCTTTCTGCCCTTCGGCATGCCCACCGTCTTTGACTTCAACGGCTTTGCTGACATGGACTCCTTCCGCCACCACCTCCCTGCTGCATCCCATTCTTGGCTCCCCTTCTTACCCCTGCTTCCCTCCCTTCCCCCTTTCCCCCCCTCTTACGCCCTCCTGTTCCCCCCCTCCCCCCATTCCTCCCCCAGGTGACCCAGCCGAGCACCAAGCTCCTAATCCAAATGGAGAGGGCAGCAGGGGATCTTGTCCTATTCGCCAAGCGCCAGGAGCAGGGCTTTCTGCCCTTCGGCATGCCCACCGTCTTTGACTTCAATGGCTTTGCCGACATGGACTCCTTCCGCCAGCGCCTCGACCGCCACCAAATCGTCTGGAACCGCACTGAACCGGGGATCGTGCTGGTGGCCGTACTGAACAACGACGTGGATTTGAGGGAGACGGGCAGGTTTCGGCTGGAGTATCGGCTAGCAGTGGGGAGGGAGGGCAGGGCGCTGTGCCCGTGGGACTGCGGGTGGCCCGCAGGGTTCTGCCAGGCGCTGACGGCGGATGGAGGGGGAGGTGGGGGAGGGGGAGGGGTTGGGGGCGCGGAGACGCAGTGCGTTTGCAATCCGGACTCTGCAGGAAGCTTCTGCCAGGGAGGTGAGTGGCGGGGGCTGTGCTGTGCTGGTGGCCGTGCTGAATAACGATGTGGATTTGAGGGAGACGGGCGGGTTCTGCCTCGAGTATCGGCTGGCTGTGGGGCGCGAGGGCAGGGCGCTGTGCCCGTGGGACTGTGGGTGGCCTGCGGGGTTCTGCCAGGCGCTGGCGGTGGATGGAGGGGGAGGTGGGGGAGGGGGAGGGGGAGATGGGGGCGCAGAGACGCAGTGCGTTTGCAACCCGCACTCTGCAGGGAGCTTTTGCCAGGGAGGTGAGTGGCGGGGCGTGGACTGGCATGGAGGGGAGCAGTGAGAGGGTGATGTTTACACCAGCAGAGAGAGTGAGCGGGGCAGTGAAGGGGCGAACGGGGCACAATCCTTTGTTGATGTCTCTTGTCATGTCACCCTCGAGCTTTCATTCCCTGCAGTGGCACAGGGCTGCAGGCAGCACAGCTGGGCAAGGCAGTGAAGGGCGTGCTGCCTCTGCGCCATCTGTTTCACACGCTGCTGTCCCCTCCCCTCTCCTCCTCTGCCCCCATTTCTATCTCACCGCATCACAGGGCTGCACACGGCACAGCTGGGCAAGGCGGTGAAGGGAGTGCTGCCTCCTTCCATTCGTTTTTCATCTCTTTTCAACCTCCCCACTCCCCCCACTCTCCGCACCCCTCCACCCTTTCCATCTCCCGCTCATCACAGGCCTGCAGACAGCAGAGCTGGGCAAGGCAGTGAAGGGCGTGCTGCCTCCGGGGCGATGGACGTACGTGCAGTTCACCTTCGACCCCACCACCAACAAGCAGATCGTCATCAGGTGAGCCTTCAGGTGATTTCAACAGAGACCCCTCTGCGGCACTGGACCTATGTGCAGTTCACCTTCGACCCCACCACCAACAAGCAGATCGTCATCAGGTGAGCCTTCAGGTGGTTTCAACAGAGACCCCTCTGTGGCACTGGACCAATGTGCAGTTCACCTTTGACCCCATCACCAACAAGCAGATCGTCATCAGGTGAGCCTTCAGGTGATTTCAACTGAGAGGACTATTGTTTTTCTCACGGTGCAAGAAACCATTGACACTCTCCTTTTCTCTCCCCGCTGCCAACCCATGGACCCCTCCTCCTTCTCATACCTCCCACTTGTCCCCGTTCCAGCTTCACCGCGCGTGGCCACTTCCCCCCACTGTAACATTGGCACATGCCATCCCGACTAGAGAACGGCTACCCTTTCATTCAGGGTCCGCGTGACGCGACCAACGACACGCTGCTGCTGTTTCTCTCCTTCCCTTCCCATCATGTGTTTTGAGACGTCTCAATCACGCTGCTGCTGTTTCTCTCCTTCCCTTCCCATCATGTGAACCCTCCCACCCACCCTCCGTTTCCCCTCCCTTCCAGCTTCACGCGCAAGGGAGGGCAGGCGAGTCTAGTAGCGAGACAAGGCGCGGTCCCCTCCCTACTGGAGAATGACTACCACTTCACGGTGCGCGTGACGAACGACACGCTGCTGTCCCTTTCCTTTCCTTCCCATCTCTTGGCCCCGACCCACCCTCAGCTTCACCCGCAAAGGAGGGCAGGCCAGTCTAGTAGCAAGACAAGGCGCCGTCCCCTCTCTCCTGGAGAACGACTATCGGTTCACGGTGCGTGTGATGAACGACACGCTGGTGTCGCTGTTTGACGTGGTCAACTCATCTCGTCCCTGGAGGGGCAAGCTGACTAACGCCCAACCGCACGCTGGTGTCCCTTGCTCTCCTGCTGTTCCCATGTCTTGCCCCCCCTGCTGGTCCCATGTCTTGCCCCCCACCCACCCACCCCCAGTTTCACCCGCAAGGGAGGCCAAGCCAGTCTCGTAGCAAGGCAGGCAGCCGTGCCCTCTCTATTAGACAATGACTACCGGTTCACGGTGCGCGTGACCAACGACACGCTGGTGTCTCTGTTTGACGTGGTCAACTCGTCGCTGGAGGGGCCCTACACCTTCGGCATCTTTAACCTCAACTACTACGTGCACCAGCAGTGCGAGTTTGAACTCGAATTCAAGTACAAAGGTTAGTTGAGTAGAAAGGAGGGTAGACGCACAAAGGAGAGTGGGAGTGGGAAGGGGTGGGGTCACGGGCAAAGGGGAGGGGCCCTACACCTTTGGCATCTTCAACCTCAACTACCACGTGCACCAGAGCTGCGAGTTCGAGCTTGAATTCAAGTACAAAGGTGCGGTGGTGTGCGGTGATGTGTGGTCCCGTGCGGTCGTGTGCGGTCATGTGCGGTCCTGTGCGGTCATTTGTTGTTGTGTGTCTCCCCTGCTCGCATCTTCAACCTCAACTACTAAGTGCACCAGAGCTGCGAGTTCGAGCTCGAGTTCAGGTGCAAAGGTGGGTTCAGGTGCAAAGCTGGGTTCAGGTGCAAAGGTGGGTTCAGGTGCAAAGGTGGGTTCAGGTGCAAAGCTGGGTTCAGGTGCAAAGCTGGGTTCAGGTGCAAAGGTGGGTTCGGGTGCAAAGGTGGGTTCGGGTGCAAAGGTACTATTAAGTGCAAATGTGTGTCCAAATACCCATGCAAGGTGGGTTCTTGCCTGCTCGTACATATTTACACATGCCCTCCCCACTACTCACCCTGTGCTCTCGCCCCCTCTGCACCCCACAGACTCCCCCAGCTTCTTCGACTCGCCCTACATAATCATAATCTACGCAGTGCTCGCCTTCCTGCTGCCTTGCTTCTCGTTCCCTTCCCTTTTCCCCCCTTGTGCCATGCCCTCCCTCGCCTCCACCCCCCATTCCCCCCAACACAGACCCCCCCAGCTTCTTCGACTCGCCATACATAATCATGATCTACGCGGTTCTCGCCTTCCTGCTGCTCGTGCTCATCCCTCTCCCCCCCTGTCCTCCCTCTCCCACTTCCTCCCGCCCCATTTCCCTACCCTCTTTCTCTTCGAACAGACTCCCCCAGCTTCTTCGACTCGCCCTACATAATCGTAATCTACGCGGTCCTCGCCTTCCTGCTGCTCGTGCTCATCGTCATCGTGCTGCGCTGCGTCATCCGCCGCCCGCCCCCCGCCGCTGCTGACGTGGAGCTCTCCGCTCTCGGTGACATGGACAGGGTGAGTGCTGACGTGGACAGGGCGAGCGCCGATGTGGACAGGTGCTTGGTTTAGACAGACAGGGTTTGTGACGAGTGGCAGTGCTATCGCTCCCCCACCCGTCCTCCTCTTCCTGTTGTCCATGTATATGCCCATTATTGCTTGCATGTCTCTACTTCCACGTCTACCGCCCCGCTCCTCCCTTCTTTCCCATTCCTGCCCTTGCCGCCCCGCATCAGCACGTGGAGGCGGTGCCAACAGGCGTGGACAGGGCGCTGGTGGAGTCGTTCCCGTTGGTGAAGTTCCGAGACGACCTCTTTGAATCCTCCGATGACGCACAGTGAGTGCCGCATTCCCCCGAACAATGCGTGCTCACCAATGTGCTTCTAGCATTGCTCGCCTGCACTGCACTGCACTGCACTGCACTGCACTGCACTGCGTCGCTTCCTTTCTCAGCATATTACGCCTTCTCTCCCATTGCCTGTCTAACCACACACGTGCATGCCATTTCCACCCCTGCTATTTGTCTCCATCATCCCCCTCTCTACCCGTCGTCCGGAGCACTCGTACCCTTTTCCTCTCAGTGGCCCATACTGCATCCTCCCATCTCCCTCTACCTTCCCTTTTTTCCCCTAGTATCTCCTCATCCCTCATTCCTCTTCTTCCCCCTCTCCCCCCTCCCACCTCCACCCCTTCCCCACTCCAGCTGTGCGGTGTGTCTAGCGGACTATGACGAGCAGGAGAGTCTGAGGAAGCTGCCGGCGTGCAGCCACTACTTCTTCATCCTCATTCCTCTCCCTCTCTGCGCTCCGCCTTCTCCCCCCTTCTCCCCTTCCCCTCGCAGCTGTGCGGTGTGCCTGGCGGACTACGACGAGCAGGAGAGCTTGAGGAAGCTGCCGGCATGCAGCCACTACTTCCACGTGTCGTGCATCGGGGAGTGGCTGCGCACGCGCTGCTCCTGCCCCCTCTGCCGCCGCTACGTGCTGCTGCAGCCGCCACAGCCCCAGCAGCCAGAACAGCCACAGCAGGCAGCGCAGCCCTCGGCCTTGCAAGCAGAGCAGGCAGGGCCACTGACGCAGCCCACACAGGCGGAGCAGAACAGCCGGAGGTGTGCGGAGGAGGGTCAGTCGGAGCAGCTGCTGCCAACGCAGTTGGGGCAGAGCAACGAGAGGTCTGAGGAGGAGGAGTCGGAGCATGGAGAGGAGCAAGTGGCAGAGCAAGGGCAAAATGCACATTCACATGGGCTTATAGAGGGCAGTGAGATTATACAGGGTGCTGGGGAGGATTGTGCTGTGCAGCGAAATGGGTGTGGGGGAGTTGTATCTGCCAAGGAGCAACAAGGGGAGGCTCAGGTGGATTTGAAACAGCGGCTACAGGAGAACCATCAGCAACGGCATGAGGAGCAGGTGGATGGTGAAAGGGATGGGCAGTGGCATGAAGAGGAGAGACTGATGAAGCGGGAGGGGGAGGAGGGGATGATGCAGGAGGCATGTGAAGGGGAGAATGATGTGATTTATAACCCAGAGCCAGCTCTAGAAGGCTTGTTGGAAAGAGATGGAAGGCAGCATGGGGAGCGTCATGGAGAAGTTAATGCAGATCGGGCTGAACATGCGTGCATTAGCAGGATGCCATAAGGCATCACATATAGGTACGATTCCTGTTTATAGTGATGCTGAATGGAATGTGAATGTTCGTGAACACAATAGAGCTGAGATACTTCATATATGTCTGTGTGTGGTGCTTTCATATAAATGAGAGTTTTTTGCTCGCGTTACATGTACCGTAGCGGACTGAAATCATTGCCACCCCTGGCGAATGAGATGTGTGGCGAACTTCAGCTCCATTGCATAACGAGTTGCGTTGCGATGGAAAGCCAGGACTGCGAAGTGTCTAGCATCAATCCAACGTGGGTTCAAGAAAGTTTCGCTTCACCTCCGCTTCGCCTACAAATTATACGAACGACGTAGAAACGAGTGTCACGGTTACACGCAGGGTTCGCAAATAAATACCAGCGCACGTAACGAAGATATCGATAACCTTCCAAGCAAGCCGAGCCGCTCCGAACCAGCGACGAATCGCGCGGACCCATCACATTCCCCCGTCGCACATCGCTGAATTTGCATAGCTCTGGTATTCCAAGCCAAGCCATGACCTGCCCTTGGTCATTTGCGCCTCGACTTCCCAAACCTGGGGGCGCTTGTTTTGAGAGATCTAGGCTTGAACATGCTCACTTCCCCAGCAGCAACCACCTCGCCGCAACTGTTTCTGCGATGATAGTGCAACCTAACGCTCATGTCAGCACGCGACTCTGCTCACTGCCGTACATACATATTACATATCCATCCATACCCTTTTATTTCTTCGACAGTGGTACATCGAGGCATGGATATCCGCCGCAGCCCTGTTCAGATACACGTAGGCTCTGTAGTCCGTACAAAGTATCAGCCTACGTGGCAGGGGCTTGGGGTAGGGGAGGGGAGGGTCCGGGGGGGTTCCTCCTTAGCATCGTCGACTGAAGCGTGGCGAGGCGAGTCGATCTCCGAACAGTGAGACCGAGCGCAGCAGGCCTACCAAAGCAGAGAGAAATAGAGCACATTAGGTTAACTTATGGGCGACGATGAGACGGCCACACACGGTTAGGCAGGTAACGAGCCAAGCCAACAGCACCTTCCCTGCATCACGCGAGTGAGCAGCAACCAACAGTGTCAGGCGAGGCAGCAGCATTTGGTGCCGCTTAGGAGGAACAACGGCTCTAGGTTCGAGTCAAGTTAGAGATTGTTCTCTCTCAACACAGTGCTCGGCACAGTGCTCGTCAGCAGTTTAGCTTCTCTCGGAACGCAACTGCTCTCACCGAGTTGCCTTTTTTCCCGCAGCTGAACGAGTCGACGAACAGCCGACGGCGCTCCGTCCTGATCAGCACGGCTTGACGAAACCGATGCGAGGGTTGTGTCGATCTAGTATAGCCGGCTTCGTGAATAGACTTGTTCCATTAGCAGTCTCGTTCGGTAAAGCTTAGGACAACGAGTTCTTCCCCGTCTCTCCTCTTACTAGCCTCGGGTTCTCGCGACCGCCCCGTCGCATGGGGTCGGGCGACACGCCGCAGGCTGCGAGCCTGTAGCTTCCCTCACCCGCGTTCCGCTAGAACCGAGTAATACCGAACTCGAGCCCGGCAGACGACTCGATATCCGCGTACTAAAAGTCACATAGCTGGCGGGGTTGGCGGGGGTGGCGGGTTGTGGGGGGGATAGGAGTGAAGAACAGGTGTCGATCAGGCTGAGCAAAGGAGGATTTGCGACATGGCATGGAAGATCCAGGTTAGTTCGCACGCGTCGCACGGCGTTTATCGCTTCGCCTCTACTGCTTCGCGACTCTCGGGTTACATATCACCTCGTATGTACTGTGAGGGGTTGTAGCATCTGTATAAATCACACACGGGCGACACGTGTCTGATCTGAATGTGCTCACCCGTAATTCCTCCCTTTCCATCTCGCCCCCTCCCCCGCCTCGGGTGGCTGTGCGACACGCGATGGTGTCGCCCGCGGGCCAGTCGTCGCACAAGGTTCACCACGTCGACCCGAAGCAGCGAACGAGGTAATCTTGCGGGTTGTGAGGCGCCTCGATCATATCGCGTGCGACCCGTCACAGCCACAATCATTAGAGCCCCGTGTTTCAGTTACCTGCTTGACGTTTCCATCAGAACTTTGCTAGCCCCCAACCAACCACCTCTGCCGTGCACCCTCTTTCCCTTCCCCTTCCCCCCACCTCCATCCCTCGTCTCCGCCAAACTAACATCCCACCAACGTGTGCCTCCCACGTGTGCACCGATCTTCCCGCATCAGCTCTACGAAGCACGCCCCCCGTCGCAGTCGCATGCGATTCCTCTGCGGCGTTCCCTGCATGGACGCTGTCGTCGACGACGACGTGTGCGACAACGCGCGACTGGCAACACCAGACACTACCGCAGCGGTCCTCCGCAAGTCCGCGCAAGCGGAAGGAGCTGCGCAACACGGGGAAGGAATCCTCCCCAGGCTGCCTGTCCCCAGGCTCGGCAGCGGAAGCCCCGCGGGGCGTCGGGGGAGCGGCGGCGTATGCCAAGCCGCGGGCGCTGCTGCGCCTTCCGCCAACGGCACCGCTGGCGGAAGCCACGTGGTAGCTGGTCGCGCAAGCCGCAGCAGGCACGGCAGCGGAAGCGGCGGAGGGAGCGGGAGTAGCGGGGGGCTGGACGAGTGGGTGGGGGAGAGGAGCGAGCGGTGGTTGGGCTCCAACGGCTCTCACGCGCGAAACGCGGCGGAATCGGCGGGAGAATCGTCAGACGAGGACGACGCGAGCGACAGCGGGATCATGTTCGCTGGGGCCAAAGCGGAGCTCGCTGAGCGCATTTGGCGGCGGCAAGTGCGGGGAGCAATGAGTAAGGAAGGTGCGGGAAGGGAGGGGGAAGCGGAGGAGGGGACGCGAAGGGACGAGGGCGCAAGAGATGAGGGGCGCGGGAACGATGCGCGCGCAGGGGAGCGGGAGCGTCGGGGGGAGGAGGTGGAGATGATTCGACTGTTGAAGGAGCGGAAAGAGCGGCAGCAGCAGCGCCAGCAGCAGCAACAGCAGCTGCAGCGGCAGAAGCGGCAAGGCCTCCATCCGGAAACGGGTGGCATGGGCACAGAATGCGGCAGCTCGGCGAAACACTATATCGAGGACACGACTCGCCGATTAGCGGAGCACGAGGATAGGGGGGACGAGGATGGGAGGGGAAGGGGGCATGAAGATGGGGGGGATGTGGGCAGCGGGACGAGCGGCGGGCGGAACTATTGGCGGGAAGTGGTGCGCCAAGGCTGCGCTGAGCGCGGGGAACACGGCGGGATGGCGCAAGCGGAGGCGCGGAAACAGATGGCGGAACCCGCGCAGAGGAAGGCGGAAGCGCAGGGGAGGGGACAAGCGGGAGTGGAGTCACGGGGGGCGGAGGCGGAGGGTAACACCTGCGACAGTGCGAGGGACAGTGAAGAGAGTGCTTTTAGCGAGGATAGCTGGGAGAGGAGCGGGGAAGAACGCGCGAGGGAAGAACTTGGGGGAGTCGACGCGCGCGGGGAGGGGGAGAGACGGGGTGGCGCAGGAGAAGAAGCGGAAGAAGACGTAGACGCGCTAGAAGATGATTCGTCACCCGTTAAGAAGCTGTGGCAGGGGCTTATGGGTTCAACGGGTGCTGGTGACACCACAGTTGGAAGAACTAGTGGTGCTAATGCTGATTGTACTGTACCTGGTCTTAGCGGCGCTGCTGTGTCTGCCGCTGCTGGCGGCGGCGGTAGCAGCGGCGTGTGCGGTGGGGGACAGGGGGGCATGACGCCTAGGCGACGCGCGAAGATGATTCGACTGCTGGAGGAGGTGAGGGAGGAGGAGGGGGAGGGGGATGAGGCGGAGAGAGAGGAGGGGAAGAGGGAGGATGAGGGGGAGAGGGAGAAGGAAGGGGGGGAGAGGGAGGAGAAGAGGCAGAAAGGGTTGGGGAATGAGATGATGAGTCCTGGTAAAGGGGTGGGTTGGCAGGGGGCGAACATGGAAGAAGTGGGAGAAGGAGGAGGAGAAAGCGGGGAGGAGAGGGAGACTGGGTTTGACGAGAGGGAGATGGGTTTTGAGGAATCGCTTGGTGTGTGGAGAGCGAGAGAGGAGGCATCGTGGCGCGAGAGGGTGGCGGGGTGGGAGGAGCGGAGAGGGGGCGAGGCATGGGCGGAGGAGGATGATGGGGACGAGGGAGAAGGGGAGGGAGAGGGGGAGGGGGAAGGGTCAGAGCTGGTGAGAGAGGGACGAGAGGAGCAAGGGGAGTCGGTTGGAAGGGGTGGGGTGGTGGAACAGAGCTTGCAGTGGTTGGGTTCGGTTCTACAAGAGGAGGAGGGAGGAGGGATGGAGAGAAGCAGAGGAGAGAACGACAGAGGGCTGGCAGTACAGTACGAGCTCACAACACAGCATGACTTAACAGCACAGCAAGAGCATTCACTCATGTCCTCCTATGTGACCTTCGACTCACAGCCATCGCCCACACCATCCGGTTCCGATGCAGCTGACACAGCAACATCGGCTCTTGCACCCGCCCCCTCCCTCTCCCCTCCAACCTCCTCCACTGCTCCCTCCCTCTCCCCCCTGACTTCTTCCACTGCTCCCTCCTCCCCTCCGCTCCTCACTGCTTCCGCTCCTGCCGACCCTGCGCCTCCTCGTGCCGCCGAGCCTCCATTGCCAAGCCTGAACCCGGTGGAACCGAGCCTGGCGGCGGTTCGGCCGAGGCTGACGTCGAGTGTGATTCGGAACGCGCACCGCAAGGTGGTGGCACAGCGAGTGGCAGCCACGGCTGAGGCCAGAGCTGCTGCTTACGCCGCTGCTCCTGCTCCTCCTGCTCCTCATGCTCCTCATGCTGCTCCTGTTGCTTCTGCTGCTGCTGCTGTTGCCGAGAGTCGAACTGCTGAGAATAGAAGTGCAGGGGCAATGTCTAGTGCACCCGGCGCTGTTGCAGGTGCCACTGTCACAGCCACTGCACCTGCTGCTAGCACCCGTGCCTCTGCCCTCGCTGCCTTGGCCGCTGCTCCCACTGCTGCCGCTTTTGCTGGTGCTGGTGCTGGCGCTGATAGTGTTTCTCAGGAAACGCCAGCGGTGCAGTCAG